AGTACCACATCAACTGATAATACCCATATCAACTAATAGTACCCATATTAACAGATGATACCCATATAAACTGATAATACCCATATAAACTGATAATACCCATATCAACTGATAATACCCATATCAACTGATAATACCCATATCAACTGTTAATGTCCATATTAACAGATAATACTCATATCAACTGATAATACCCATATCATCTGATAGTACCCATATCAACTGATAGTACCCATATCAACTGATAGTACCCATATCAAGCAAATTTCAATATAGATTGATAAGGGGTCTTGTTCCAAAAGTAAATAATTTTTTTCAATTTTCAATATATTGTTTATTGTACATGTAGAGGAGGCATCAGGACCTACAGATGAAATGGTTATTCGTTTATTGGAAGAAGCTACGAGTACAGAAGAGACAATTCAGAGAGCACCTGGTAGATTTAGGTTAGTTGATATCTTACAATGAGTTGTGTTTCATCTTTCTAGATTGTTAGGTTAATTGTTATTTTTGTGACTATAATGTGATGAATTTGATAGCATGAAATATGCACAAAAATTATACATACACAATTTCAACTTTAAAACTATTTAACTTCTAGACGATTTATTTGTTTTCAATGAAATTTTCAGGGATGATTATTCAGGTCTATCCTAAGTAAATGGCTTTGTATGGTTTCACTGTCTTCACTGGAACAGAAACAATAGAGCTGCCAATTAGCGGGCTCTGTTAATTGTGAACGATTTATAAAATGTGAATGTTTCAAAGAGCACTGTGTGAACACTTTTCAATGGAAACACTAATAACTAAGCCATTATGTTCCTGGTAAACAGAAGTTTTAAATAAGTGTTCTTAAATCAAAATCAGGGTATGCATTCAAAAGTTAAATAGTTTTAAGTGCACTTTCACCTAAAATGCATGATTTTAACCCAAAATTCACACCACTTAATATGGTATCATTGTACATTATTGTAAACCATAAAACTTGAAAGTTTAAATAAAACTCTTTCAAAAGATATATAACTTGATTGGTAAAAAGTATATTTTGCTCGTGTAATTACAGTAATTAGAGCCAATTAGAAATATAGTCTCCCAACCTGCATCTCTACCTTAAAGATGATTCACAGAATTTTAGTTTCTCTCGCTAAACGAAAAAAACTGATGCATATCTTGTTTGATGTTCACTATTAAAGTTGTATTCCCACACCTCCCACATTTTTGTGATGACAATGAACAATTTTAAAACCAGTTGTTTTGGCAACAAGTGGCTTTCACTTTGATCTGCACCAAGCATTGGGACTTGGTTGGCACAAATCAAAATGTGAAATCTGAAGATCAAATCTGCACTTGCCAAAAGAGTTTCAGAATAAAAACTGCCCATTTGAATGCTCAGTACGAGCCAAAATCACACCATTTGGCAATGAACTTAAGAAAATATACATTGGATTCTGAAACTCTCATTTCTATGACAGTAAAGTTGTTCTACTGTAAAATGCTTTATTTTCGATTTGATTTAATTTTCACAAAAGAATGATTCAGTGAAAATAAATCCAGCGAATATACCTTTTTTCCTACTATATTTTACATTCAACTTGTCAAAAATCATTGAAAATAAATTTCATACAAAACACCCAAATGTCTTTTCAGCGAAAATTAATTCCAGTTAAAATAAAGTATTTTACAGTATATTGGTAAACTCCTGTATCCACTAATAAGTACTCCAAATTTGTTTCCACACTATGCGAACAAACGAATAAAGTTTTCATCTCGCAATTCTACATAAACATGAAAAAATAGTTTTTTTTCGAATTCTTCTGTCATTCCGATCACGATTATTAATAATAAATACCATAATAGCATCAGTCATGCATATCATTTGCCGTGTTTACATTAACAGGTTAACAAATTAGGACAAAATTTAGGCACAAGCCCAGTGGGTCTCTTTGTGGCTCTGATTAATATAAACACAAGTGCTATAAGCTTTTTGTAAACACGAAGGATTAAAAATATTCAGCATGTGCCAAGATCTCATATAATGAACATATGTTCCAGCACTGAAGCTATCCTGTACTGAAGGTCTTGGTGTCTAATCACGAAACCAAATATAACTTTCGTTATCACTCATGACAAGATTTCTCATGATCTATTCAAAAAAACCTTATAATCATTACAGGGGTCAGTGAGAGGTTTTCTACAGACCATACAAGGCGGGAATAAAAATTATCCAGAAATGATCTACATTTGCATACAATAATTTATTGATAAGTTTGTAATTTTCATTTGTTGACTAGTCGTCATGACGACTATGATAGATATGGATTTTGTATGAAGCTGCAAGCTGACGATGAAGATTCCTTTATATCCAAGGCAACAGATTTACAGCGAAGATCAGAAGAACTCACTGTAAGTTTTCAAATTTTCACTAATTTGGGGGAAAAGATTTAGATGCATGAGACACTGTAAGAACTTTAAGACAGTGTGTCACAGTAACTGGGATTTTTACATGTAAGATGACGAGTCACATTGACTATCACTCAAAGGATTAAGTGACAGAGGTATCCAATATACAATTAATAAATGTAATTCTGGATTTATGTATCATAATAATAACGTACAGTAACTGAAACATTTTAGTGTATTAAAATTAATTGCTGACAGCTTTGAAACTGGACTGATTTTGTGTTTTTGTGTATGTAGTATATCAATGTAAACATCAGTAGTTGTCTTCATAAAAGCTTGAATTATTAACAAAATAATATCAATCACTATTAAATATGATGATTTTTAGATGCGGATGGTCGACTTAGAAATGTCTGTTGGTATAAAATGGGAGAACTATATTGTGAATCAACAAAATAGACAAGTTTTGTCGAAGTGTAAGTGTTCTTTTACTGTATTGTTAATATGACATAATCTGGTTTTATGTTGGATTTAAGATTTAGATTTTAGAGACTACAGTTTTATTATTCATAACCTAA